ATTTTTAATCCGCAAAAAATATTTCAATTTATATTATAGATTCTTAAATATTAAATAGATTACATATATCAAGAGTATATAATTATATTTTGTACTACGACTAATTACCGGCCGGCTAGCAGGTGGTCGGTTATGTGATATGAAAGTTTGAAGTCGCTGTGCGTTTCTGCGGAGTTCAAACAATTTAAATAAAAATAAGTTAACATTAATATAATAATCTATTAAAAAGACGGTCTAAAGGTTAAAGAAGAACGCACAATAAACATAAAATTAAAAATTCTTAAGAAGAATGAGGTAAATATTTCGCTTTAGAAATTTAGACATGTTTGAGGTGTGTGTTGGGCGTAGTCTAAAGCAAAGACCGCGTTATGTATATTACACAATTATACTTTCTCTATTCAAACGGGATTTGTTGTACGTATTTATTTTAAAATGACGTGTACATATGTATATATATAAACATTTTGAAAAATATGGTTAAATGTTAATTCATTAAAAGACTTAGCAGGCTACAGAATATTACAAGATTTGGCCCTTAGCAGACGAGGATAATGCACGTTTTACAATGTGCCAAGAATTTTCCCGCTACAACTCAAAGAGAAGAAATGTAGTGGCGGATCTAGAGGGAGTTTAGTTCTTTCCTCTAAGAGAGAGCAATTTTAGGATACCAACATATTTGTTGCATTTTTATTAAAGTAAACTATACTGCATATCTAGTTGTAGATTACATTAAATTTTAGTTTTAATCTTTTAATGTAAATGCCATACAGGCCCACGGTTCAAAAGTTGTTGACCCAGAGTACCAGGGGTTAATACTGAACATGCATTATATAATTAAGAAAATCATGCAATGTCGAGCACAAGCTTTTAATATCACGAGGATATATATTAAAAGATAGATATAAGATATTTTAAAAACAGATCACCATAGTCTTTAGTTGCTTCATAAAAGGAACATTAATTGGTTTGCGGCCGATTTTTGACGCTTGCGTCAATATATGTTTCTTGTCTTAATTTTTAGAAAAACACAGGAACGTGTGGACAAGACACCCCCCCCCTTGATATTGAACCCCAGGGCTTAATTATCTGTTATGTGTATCCTTACAATACGAAAAAAATCGCTGACGTAAAACCCCCAGAATAATCCCTCAACCAAAAAAAAAACAAAACAAAACAAAAAAAACCCCCACTATTTATTACCCCACTTTACAAGAAAGAAAGCTGTTTACGGAGAAAATGTGGGATTATGACGTGATGCAAAGTCAGTCCGATAGCATGGACGAAGACAGAAATACATTGTATATATAGAGACAGTGTGAATCGACATTTAAAGTTAATAAAAACAAAATAAATGCATTTAATTAATACCAGTGGGGGTACAACGTAAACAGACTGGAGTGACATATCCTTCTCTTATAATGTATAGTGGGTATTTGGGGGGGGGGGGGGGTGTTGAGCGATTATTCTGGGGATTTTACAATTTTTTTTTATTGTAAACATGATGAAAAAGTTTAATAAATATAACTTGTGAAAAAAATGTCCAATAAGCCCTAAGGTTGAATATCGAGGCGGGAGGGAGGGAGGGGGGAGAGGTGGTACCGTCCATAAGTACCTGTGGTTTTCCTTACAGAGGAAATGCACAAAATTCAAGTTTAGTAGACAATTCAAAAATATATATACTCCTGATATGTGAAATCTATTTAATATTTAAGAATCTATAATATGAATAAAAATATTTTTTGCTGATCAAAATTCCATTAATTATTTAAATTTCCTTCTAATATATAATGGAGTCTCAACTAAATTTTGATTTGTCTCAACTATTTTTTTTATGCAAATGTCACTGTTTAAAGCTTTGTTTATAAATGACTCGTGCATCACCTTACAAAAACCTATGCTGAAGCACACATTTGAATTGACAAAATTTTGCTTTTCAAAGTTGAGCAAAAAAAAGTTAAATTGGTAAAAGTAAAATACTGAAATTCCAGACGGAGATATTTTCATTAGAATTATTTTTCCATTTTACATCTCCTTACCTGCATTGTTGCAATGCTACTGAATTTGTGCAACTTTATCCGAATGCAGATAATTTACATTTCCCAATACCCCAATGCAGGATTACCATTACTATGCAGTATGAATGCAGGCTCTGTCAGGTATTGTGCATTATAATGTCTATCACTGTCACGTCAGTCAATGAAGGCATGGGCTGACCTTACATCAATCAGTCAATGCAGGCATTGGTCGACTGCACAGTCAGTCAATGCAGGCATTGGCCGACTGCACATCAGTCAGTCAATGCAGGCATTGACCTTACATCAGTCAGTCAATGCAGGCATTGGCCTACTGCGCAGTCAGTCAATGCAGGCATTGGCCAAGTGCACTTCAGTCAGTCAATGCAGGCATTGGCAAAGTGCACATCAGTCATTCAATGCAGGCATTGGTCGACCTTACATCAGTCAGTCAATGCAGGCATTGGCCTACTGCGCAGTCAGTCAATGCAGGCATTGGCCGACTGCACATCAGTCAGTCAATGCAGGCATTGGCCGATTGCACAGTCAGTCAATGCAGGCATTGGCCGACTGCACATTAGTCAGTCAATGCAGGCATTGGCCGACTGCACAGTGAGTCAATGCAGGCATTGGCCGACTGCACAGTGAGTCAATGCAGGCATTGGCCGATTGCACATCAGTCAGTCAATGCAGGCATTGGCCGACTGCACATCAGTCAGTCAATGCAGGCATCGGCCGACTCCATAATCAGTCAATACACCTCATTCTTCTTCACCGTAGATTTTAAATCCCCAGGCTTGGCTGACTTTGACAAACTGTTCTATAAAAAATGGCTGTTCGATTGTTAATAATTATCATGTCAAGAATATGTATACTCGGTATTGATAAACATTATCATTTTAATTTGAAATTGATAAATATAAAATAATAGGAGGCCAGATAATTTTAAAACCATAAAGCATCGTAATGGACATAAGAAATGTTAACGTGCATGAGGTGAAAGTTGGTCTTCTTTTTTTTTTTTTTTTTTTTTTTTTACAAAAGTGTTATTCATTTTATAAATTCTAAAGAAGCCAGCATAAAAATGATTTTGGATGTTAACTGACAACAAAGTACTAAGTGTTCTAATTAATTGATTAAAATTTTCACTGCGGGGAATTTGGTGAATTTCCAACATGACTGAAACTAATGTAACAAAACAAATTCACTTAATATATGCACATGTATAATGGTATAAATATTTTCCTAAAGTATATGAATAGTAGGAAATAAAGTGGCACATTTAGTCGTGCATATGAGTTATTCATTTAATGTCATATATTATAAAGTGTTTTCTTGATCCTCTATCTTTTTCTTTTCCTTTGGTCTGTATTGTAGTTTTTAACCCTGTAAACATGAAAAGAAATGCATGCAGTATTAAAGTAAACTTCTTTTAAAGTAATCGAGAATTACCGTTTATTTTTACATTTCCTTTCCAAATTTTTTTTTCAAATATTTCATTTAATTTAACTCTGTTTATGATTAGAATAGTTCACAAATAGTTTAAACTTATTTCTTCAAATGAAAAGACTGCAAGAATATGATGGCAATATATTCTGTAAGGCAGATTAACTATGCATTCCCAAGCCTTCACAAGACTGAATAATTTATTTTCCGGATAACCAGAGGCATGTCACGTTCTAAATTTTAAATTCACCAGGTTGGAGTAAATACAAAATTTAGAACAAGACAACTACTTTTTTAAAAAAAAATCTCCAGACCCCCCCCCCTCCTTCTTTTCAGAATTGAATGAATATTCTATCCCTGTCATTCAAACGAATACAAACAAACCAAAAAAAAAAAAAAGAAACCTAATCTTACCAGTGTTCTTTTTTTTTTATTTTTTCACTATTCACTTTCATCTGTATATGACTGGTTTGTAATGCACTAATGGACGAGTTTACATGTCCATCCTGACAAGGAGAAGGTTTTAAAACTGAAATAAATAATTATTATCCTCAATTTTTTTAATTGTGAAGGAAAAATAGATTGAAATTACTCTGATTGTAGATATCTATTTCAATTCGTCATAAATTAAAATTTCTTGCGATGCACCATCTTTTGAACGCCTCTGTATTTAAAAGTGAAAGTAGCTATTAAGACCGAGTATAAATCATGTATTTTAAAAAAAATTCGGCCGTCTAAATGTAAGTTTTATGTTACTTGTAAGTAAAGACTTTTATCTATAACTGGTTTATGAACAGACGTGCAAACTACTTACCACGAAGAACGATATACAGTCTGTAGGCCTGACGTTACACTCAATCATCGGCCCCTCTGCTGTAGGCTGGTCAGCTATTTCGATGCCTCGATTGGTAAAACGTAACATGTGCACGTGTATAATCATTCAGCAAAAACACACAACCTTTGGTAACTGGAAATACGTCCTTTTTATCGTTGAATTTTAAAAAGATCATCTTAACCCCTTTGCTTATTAACGTTCAGGGACGTAGCATCCGGGGGGGCCAGGGGGGGCCTGGCCCCCCCACTTTTTTCCCCAACATAACCTTTACTGTAGTAAATGGCTTTGAAAAGTTGGCCACTACCCCCCCCCCCCCCCCCCCCCCCCCCCCCCGAAATAGGATTTTCGAGTTTGGGAAACTTTTAATTTTCGTTTTTTTTTTTTTTTTTTTTTTTTTTTTTTTTTTTTTTTTGCTTGTCAACTTTTTCAGGTAAGTAAAAAAATTTTTCTGAGGTTGGCCCCCCCACTTTCAATAACGATGCTACGTGTCTGACGTTTCGCGGAATTTAGTTTCTGTAATATTGTGACGTCATATAAGTACGTAGTGCATCACCCAACAGTTAGGCCTTTTTGAAGACTGATCATTCACACAGCAAAGTAATATGTGGGCGATTAAAAAAGTATGGAGTTTTTATTATGCAGTGAAAAAAACACCAGTTGTGTTCTTCTTGAAGCAAAGCTTCGTCCAGTGTATCTTTATCCTATAGACGGAAAGTTCCAGCTGCAGATTTAAGACACATTGAAGGTTTGTACAAAGTAGCCTACCATGCTTATATTTAAATTATGCAACTATATTGTGTTTATTTGGCAAATGATTCAATTATTATTCAAAATAACTTGCCTTTTTTTAATTTCTAACTTGCCCAAGTAATATAAAATTAATAATATGAAAAAAGGAAAATGCTTTTTTTAAGGTTATTTGTGGGATTCAGGGTTTTCCAGTTTTGATGTACAGCTTCTTTCTAAAATAAATCGTATTTTTTCGATTGCTAGCGTAGAAAAAAAAAGAAATAAAGTCGTAGAAATGTTTGCAAATTATGGCGTGCGTTTAGAAATCTTTTTTTTATGGTTGTACCCCTTAATTATTTGGTACGATAAGCTTTTTACTCCATGCCCCACTCTCACCATTTCGGCTGTTGTGATTTTTTCCCCAGAAAAATAATGCATGCAGTGGCAAAAGTTACAAAGTTCATGCTTGTTTTGTCTAGGGATTTTTAAATACATGTCTTATTTTTTTTCTTAACAGTGTTGAGTGACACTCAGATGGAATCTACAGCAACATTAGACTACAGTCTGTGATGATATCCGATTCTATGAGACCTGAGTCTGTTTGTTAAAATGGTGGCAAACGACCATATCATAAGGTTTTATATTCAATATTGTGCCTCACTACTTGTATTTGATTAATGAGTGATGATTATACATGAATACATAAAATTAAAAATCTGCGAAAGAAGCATTTTAATTAATATTTAGAGCGTATAACATCAATTATTATGTTGGGACAAGACGATGAATTGTAATTATTTGATGAAACAATGACGAAAATTATATACAAATTTACACGAATTCAAACAATGATGTGTAACTAACTCCGATTCTATTTTCAGGCGAAGTACTGAGAACTGCACAGACTAAATGGATTACTTTAGGAATCAAGAAGACAACATTTTGACAATGCATAAAAGATTCTACGCAAATAATTTTTATCAAACTGTCCTTGAAAATACATCGTTTTTATTTAATTTTACTTTTCTGCAAATTCTTCTCCATAATTAAAATAAACGTTAAAATTGATCATTCATCGGCATTACTTGGTTTATAGAAGTCTGCTGTAAAAAACCAGTTTTGACAAATACAATATGTACATGTATAACTATATTTTTTACAAGGAAGATTTTATTTGCATTAGCTGTATGAATTAAAGGTATTCCAATGCCTGCAGTCCCTATACATGTATATACGGTGGAATGTACAACGCCTGCATTGCATCAGTCTTTTGAGTCTATCATTGACTGCATTAGAACTTATGTGCATGCAGTCGGCCAATGCCTGCATTGACTGACTGCGCATTCTGCCAATGTCTGCATTGACTGACTGATGAGCAGTCGGCCAATGCCTGCATTGACAGACTGATGCACAGTCGGCCAATGCCTGCATTGACAGACTGATGTGCAGTCGGCCAATGCCTGCATTGACTGACTGATGAGCAGTCGGCCAATGCCTGCATTGACTGATTATGGAGTCGGCCAATGCCTGCATTGACTGACTGATGTGAAGTCGGCCAATGCCTGCATTGACAGACTGATGTGCAGTCAGCCAATGCAGGCATTGACTTACTGCGCAGTCGGCCAATGCCTGCATTGACTGACTGATGTGCAGTCGGCCAATGCCTGCATTGACTGACTGATGTGCAGTCGGCCAATGCCTGCATTGGCTGATTCTCTCAAGGCCCAATGCAGGCATTGGCCGACTCTCTTAGAGAGCTAATGCCTGCATTGACGGACTCTCTTGAGAGCGTGAGGGAGTCAGCCAATGCCTGCATTGGGCCTTGAAATGCCCGAGTGACCATAGATAGAAAGAGAGAGGGAAAAGGATAAAGAAAGAGCCATTCACATTGCCTGCATTGGCCTTTTTTATAGTTGTGCAACCTGCATTGGCCAACAATAAACACATTGCTGTAAGAAATTGCGATGATATTCTGGCATTGACTTAAGAATAATAGCCACCACTGCATTGCAAGTTTATTCACTTTCCTAGGTTTAAAATACATTTTCTATTCCTTTAACGCCAAATTGCATTAGTTAATTACATTTAGAACAAATTCGATTGCATATGTGATTAAGATAAAACACAAATCAGAATACGCTAAAATTTGCAAGAAATTGAATGGACATCATGTCATTGTTCCTGTTGTTACTTGTATCATATGAATTTGGAAATAAGTGAATAAAACCATACCATTTGTTTCGGACTAATTTTGTAATCATAAACAACTTCTTTTATAAATTTATTAAATTTTATTTACTTTGGTAATAGAAGTCAAAATGTCTTTCCAAATTGCCCATAACATCGAACTTAAATTAAAAAAAAATAAATTAGACAGATAAAAATTAGTTGAGACCCCATTATATATAACACTTTTTCTTGTATTGTAATTTAATGAAATGACCCATTTGATATAATTATATTGAACTATTTCTTGATAGTAAAAACCTAATAAAGGGGAAGTAATCAAATGTTGAACCCGCTTTTGATTGGTTCGTTTGGATCTTGAATCTCGAAACTCGAATTTTGAATCTCGAATTTCGAATTTTGAATCTCGAATTTCGAATCTCGTATTTGGAAACTCGAATCTCGAATGAGCCTTCTGGGCTTTCGTAGTCTGGTGATCAGAAAAGCGTACAAAGAAAGTCAGATGTAAAGTATGTATATCGAGTCCTTCGGCCTGGCGAAAGATATGAGAACGGACTGTATCCCAAGAATATTCACTCGAGTATAACTATCCAACAACACGTGGAAAGTGGAAGCAATTGCCAATCATCGAAATACATTTCTTGTTGCAGAAGGCTTTGTGCCATAAAGAGGCTGGGAAAGTTTACAAGAAAGCCACACCTAGTAAGGGATGTAGTAAGGATAATCATTAGCAGACTCAAAAACAACACCCGAGTGATAGATCTGACTAAAGTGGAAATACGCGAACGTCACATTGAGCGCTCGTCAGTGGCTTGGGGGTACGCTGAAAGATTCGAGGAAGTCATCTTAGAGCCAACATCTCATGTACCTCCAGAATGTTTTAAGAAAATTGGGGAAATTCATAACAGAATTTTTAGAAAAATATAAACCTCCATCCTGAAATGCTTCATTTCCAAAGGATGGTTAGATACAACAATCTTATTCATCTTGGGTACTTTTTATCATCTGTAGTCTGCAAGATTGTTCCACTTTACAAAGAGATATTTTTTTAAGTTTTATTATTTTGAAACAATGAATTAAAAAAGGAAATTTAAAGATGACCAATTGAGAGAGAGAGAGAGAGAGAGAGAGAGAGAGAGAGAGAGAGAGAGAGAGAGAGAGAGAGAGAGAGAGAGAGAGAGAGAGAGAGATTTCAATTCCTTTGTTACAACAAGTTATTATGTAGGAATTTCTATTGCAGTTCTGACTCTGTATAGCTGAAATATTTTATCATATATACGTACTATTTTTTTTGCGCATAACATTTCAGTTCAAAGTAAATAAATGTATTTTTAATGGCAGCTAAAGGAGGAAAATATATTTATTGTTTTCATATGTATTTATTATATGTTATGAATTTACAATTACTATTTATACATGAAATATATTGTATAAAATATTCGATCATATGTACACATGTTATGTATGTAAGAATGTTATATATAATATGCAATGTTCATTAAAATAATAAATTATATAGTACTTGTATACTAATTTGTTTTCATGAAATGCTTAGGAAATATATGTTTGTTTTATGTTATATTTAGATATGTAGTTCAAACAAATTTACAGAATTAAAAAAAAATTGCCCCCCCCCCCCACCCCCGCTTTTAATGTTACTTTTTAGTGTATGGAATGCGATTATATAAAACATATTGTGTCAAATATGTATACCCTATAATATGCCATTCCATATTTATGACCAAAATTAAAATCTAAGAAAATTAGATGAAACATATGGGTCGAGGTCAAGGGGTAAAAACTGTAACATGCTCATAAACATCATCGTACAAGATACATGTAGTACATGTCTAATATGAAAGTCCTATCTCTATCAAAAGTTATAAGGAAAGATAACATTTTTGAAAGGTGGGTAAAACCTCGAGGTCACGTGGTAAAAAATTTTTTTTAGTGTATTTACAAAGTTCTTGTCACAAGTAATATACATGTATAATCTGAAAGCCCTATCTGTTATCCTTCAAATTTATGTCCAAGGTTAAAGTTTCTTAATTAAAAGCTGACTAACCTTCAAGGCCAATATGTTAGGGGGTCAAAATTCATGGTAAACATGTATTTAGAAAGTCTTCTGACAGGTAATACACATGCAATATGAAATCATGAAATATTACTTTTGGGATGTTTTCTATTCTCTTTAGAGAAGTGGTCCGAGAACCCATCCAGGCTCTTCTGTTCTTTTCTTTTTGTTACCCGTTTATGATAATTTATTAATTAATTTACATTAATTTACTTTAATTTTTTTTTTCGAGCCTCTCCCTTCCCTTTTGATTAATGTTTTTCATGTCCATGTTTTCAAAAAATAAATTGCCGTGTTTTCATATCGGGATCGACCTTTCAAAAATTGTGTACTTTCATTTCGAGTTTTCTCAGGTTTTGATGGTAAACACATGGCTAGCAGATTCAGACCGACTTATGGCCAAAATATTGTTAACAATCATCGTAATCAGTCTTGATGCTGTGTGACAAAGACTCCATTGAATCTATTCAGCAGTACATCATCAAGCTGACTGAATTTCTCTCTCTGTATACTTTGATTGTTGACGCCTATGTATCGGTAAACACCGCTTTAACCATGTTAACTTTTTATTCTTACAATTTCTTGAGAACTACTCGATAGAGACAGTAAGTTATGCATGTTTTTAGTTTTTACGTGTTTGTTTCAATAAATGTTTTCCACATTTTTGTTCCCTAGCATTTATTTAAAATCAAAAAGAAAAGAAATTAAAAGAAAAGAAATTACAAGTAGCTAAAATTATAAATAAAGGTTATAAATAACTTCATTCTGACGTATCACTTCTTCTCCTTTATTTAACATGTGCAGTTCTGTTATCAGTGTGTTTTGTTTAGTTTCATTGTATATTTTAGGATTACTTCACCCAGCACCATTGGGATACCCTCCCCTCAGTGTGGAAAGAGTCTCTGCGTAACACAGAACCTACAGAACTGGTGTGGCTTTTGACAGAGGAAAGGTGAATGTCTCTAATATATTTGTGTAACAGGCGGGAAAAAATGTCGGCCAGACTGGTACTCGATCCCAGGACCTCCTGCTAACCGGCAGGTGTTTTAACCACTGAGATAGCTTGCCAATATACCTGTATCCAATCCCCATTACACATGTAACAGTGCATATCTTTCATTAATGACAAAGTCCCATTAGTATGAGTAACAAGAAAATTGAAATTAAACAAGGCTTGAAATGGTTCCTTCCTATTTCAGTCAGGTATCCAGGGTGTGGCCTCTCTCACTTCTTGCCTTCAGACAGTGCACACGTACTTACTCACTACAAAGGTCACAACAAGAGGTCAAAGTACAGGACTTGTCAAAACTTTCCTCACAAAGATGTGTACAGGGTAAGACAAAATAAAAATTATTATGAGAATAAAAGAAAAAAAAATGTTTTATTTTCAAAGTGACAATTTTTCTTCCAACCTCAGAGATAGTATTGCATCTGAAAAAATCAGTCTGTGATGTTTTAATTTTATTCAGATCTGAAAACCAGCTCAGTTTGTCAACGACTTGCAAATCCAGACACAAAATACCATGAGTATCTCAGGAAGCATGTTAAACCAAAGAAACTTCACGAAATCAAAAATCTTGGAAAGGTAGAAATTTGTGATATAATTAGACTTTGCTCAACTATTATGCAGATTTTTATTTATAATGTCGTGGGATCATGCTATACTTAAACATTTACAGTAAAACTCAATTATAACAAAGTTCCATATGAAATTACTTCTCTATATCCGTAATTGGTTATATCCGTATAAAGAACTCGTTGAATTCATATAGTTTGGGATCCAAGATTACTTTGCTATATCGGAGAATTCGCAATATCTGTGTTTTCTGTTCTTCAGGTCAGGATCTTAAATTTTTTTTTGACTTTTATAAAACAGAGACATCACAAGCCCTAAGAGTGCAATGATAAACCGTTTGACGATATACTGCAGTTTATTTTTCTACAGTTCAATTCACGATACATGAAACAGATATTACGGTTCAGTTCAATCGATCCGTAACAATCTGAATCGTCTGTTTTGGTTCCTCATTTACAATTTCAAAATGACTTCCGCATGAAACATGAGGTAAATGAAACTGCAGAAACAGCAATTAAATTTTTTTCCAGCCTCATATTTAATGAGTCGAAGGATGTCATCACTCTCCTAGGGTTAGTGTACTGACCATTTGATAAAACTTTTAAGCTTAAAGTATATGATGACAAACATCTGACTTTTTAACCCAACATGTCATGTATTGTGATACGTATCGTATCATGAACTGAATACTGTGATAGGTACCGTATCATGGGGTAGGCATATTATTATACTTCATATAAATAAACACAAGTAAAACGGAACCTGATTGGCTGAGGCAGTCACGTGACCGTTGTGTTTGTCTTGCAACAAAATTTCGTGTTTCCCACATTCGGTTCACCTTGGCTGACTACGCTATCCTACATCTAGATGTAATCACTCAGCTGAGGTGTACAGAACATGTTTCATGTCGTGTTCCCCGATTGGGACGTCACAATGCGGCGAATACGATGATTTATGCTGAATTCGATTTTTTAAATCTTTTGATTAATTATGTCGATATAGAATATTAAAATGTAAATACATGTAGTTAGAAAAATGTTTCCATGAGTGGGAAATGAATGTTGTTACACTGCAGTGTGTGTAAATCAGAATGACTTTGTCAGGGAGTTTTTTTCTATGAAACGCTAGTGGTGTGACTTACACCCATTGGTATTTCATATTGTTCTCATCAAATGTTTATTTTATTTATATATTGGATTCTCTTTATATTTTCTGCATTGTGCTTGATTCGGTATAATAAAATAATTATTGCATGAATGTTCGGGAGACCTGAAGGTTCCTCGCCCATGAAAAATCATATTCCCCTCCGTCGTTGCTCTCAGGGAATATGATTTTTCATTGGCATAGAAATCTTCATGTCCCCTCACTATCATGCAATAATTGTATATTGTTGCACACCTAACAAGCACCCTCAGGTGACAAACCCAGTCAGAGGCCTCTCAATTTTTGATGTTACCATGTTAACAGTCCTTACTAAAATTATATATTATAACCACAACATACAGTCAGTGATTTTAATGACATTTTTCTACATATTTGATCTCAATTTTCTAGGCTTTAAGGTTTCTTGGAGATGCATGTGACTGTGAGCATATTGTGGATGTGGGAGCAGGTCAAGGTCATTTGTCTAGGTTTATGACCTTCCAACATGGGTTCAAGGTCACAACGGTAGAGGCTGAAGGATGCCATGCCCCCAAAGCACAGAAATATGACAGGTAAATGTAAAATGTTAATATCATGGTCGAGCCTTTTCTATCTGTAAGCAAGTGTTCCTGAGCAATTTGTTGAATTAAACATCCAGATTTCTGGAATTTTATTCAGAAAGTGCTTGTGTAAGTTATGTTCTCCATAAATTTTCAGACCTGTTTACTCTTACGATTTCGCCGTATTTTTTACGGATTTTTAGTCTAAAATACGTCTCACGTTTTGCCATTATGAAAATACGGAAATCAGAAACAAGTTAGTTTGGAATTTAACAGTTAGTTTTCGTTATGATCTGTCGTAGATTTACTTTATTTATCGCTAAATATCAGAAAGATTTCAAACACCTAAGCGATATCAGGTTGCCAAAACGCTGTGGTATTATAAAATGACCTTGTTGTTAAACAATGTTTTTGTAATCAGAAAAGCATTTTTTCTCTTTTAATATATGTAAAATTGATGGAAAATGAAATCTTACTGGCAAATGCCAAATCTCACGGACAAATCTTAAGCAAAATACTGAGAGACAACGTTATGGGTAAACAGGTCTGAATTTTGTCCAGATGGTGAAGCTTCTGAGCTAATGAGGTAGACAGGGGATTCTTACTCCTCCTTGTCACCTGATCCTACCTTAGATTCTGAGATCCATAATCAAAGACACTATGATATTTGAAAAGTTGTGGTCTGTTCATGGGTGTCAGAAGCAAATTGAGAATGGGAGGCTAATTGAAAGTGGGGGGCTAAACCAACAAAAAAAGGTAAACTCCAATTTTCAATTATACAGGACCAGTAGGTCTGTTGTTTAAACTACTTCACTATTTATTGCTAGTTTTTTATCCCGTTTCCGATAATTACATTTAAATTGTAGGCAATTCTTCATTTGTCTTGATTTATATTTCTTTTTTAGTTTCTGTTAAGAATTTTTATTATTGTCTATTTTTTTTCAATGATAGTTATGTCTTTATACTGATATGAATAATTATAATAAAAGTAATTTTTTTTTTCTAGAGATGCTCACAGACAGATCTCAAAGGTAGGCGCTTTATTTAAATTTCTGATTTCAAAAGTTTCATACTTCCAACATGTCAAAATATAATATATTTACAGTGTACTCCTAGTTTGGACTTTCTGATGAACACCGACATGTAGATTAAACCACCTTAAGCATGCTATTGAACTTCTTCCTATTAAATTCAATAAAATTTATTAAACTATTTTCCTTGAATTGCAATTGCATCAATAAGAAACACATCAATTGTAAAGTTTCCAGTGATTTAAATATTTTAATTGAGCCATTGCAATTGGAAAGTGAAAACTGTGGATAAAAGTCTTCCAGTTCATTATGTCTTCACCAGGTGTAAAATGTTTGTTTATTTTGTCTTTATAAAAAATTGTTATTAACAGAATAAAGGTCTCATTTATCTATTATACCTTGTATATGTCATAAAAGTCAAAGCGTAATTGGTTATGCAGGGTAAAGGTCACACTGAGACTGAAAGTGAGGCTGAGCTCCCATGTCATGTGACCTGTTACATCACAGCAGACACAGCCCAGGGGAAGTTTCTAGACATTATACAGGAGTCATTCAACAGGTCTAATGTTGACAGCCATTGTAAAGCAGAAGGTGACTTGGGACTTACAAGAGAGACTACACAACAAGTACTTACTAGTGGTTCAAAGATAGACATGATGCAATCTGCTTCATTAGAGGATCAAAAAAATTTAAAAAGTTGTAATACAGAATCTAACAAAAGGCTAAAGTTGACAAGCACTGATATTAAATGTGATGATGAAGAGAAAGATTTGACTTCTCCTGAAAGTGTTCAGAGTAAAAGAAATTCTTGTGGGCACATTCCAAGCAGCAGTCAGTTGAGTTTTTCAAACAATTTCTGTGATAAATGTAAAAAATACTTAGGTATAGAGGAGATTAGGCCGGAATTAAAAATATCTTTGTTTCCCCTAACCCGACCCTGAATTCTCAAGGTGGGTCGGTAGGTAGGTAAACAATTTTATTTTATGACAGCAACTTTGAAAATACGTTCTAAGATTTAATAGAAAAAACTTTTTAAGTTAGAAAAGTACAAAAGAAAGCGATTTGTGAACAAAATGCTAGGTATCAAACATGCTGTTTAAACGTGTTAAAGGAAAATTCTTGATTAAATTTACAACTGTTATTTAGTTCAACTTGTGAGATATCTCACCCCAGAGTACATTTATATAGATCGAATAGATAAAGACAAGATTCTCAAATACGCAAAGACCGGACATCCGAGTATATTTTTTCAAACCTTCAATCAGCCCTCAGTGCTTATAGACAATCAATGTACTTTTTGATGGCCATCAGATTTGCAGTGTTTCTAGAGCAATTTTGCTTTAGAGTGAAGAAGTAAGTGTCTAATTTTAAGTCGCAGGTCCAAATACCAATAAGGAACGTTGAAAACAGTCTTTCAAAAGGGACCATAAAAACTTGTGTCCAGTCTCGCAAAAGATCCTGGCTCAAAAAAATCCCTTACTGCTTAATTGGCAAAAAAGTGCTGAGTACGTCTAAATTTGAAGCAATGGGGAAATGTTCAAATGTCGTCCAAACAAATCTCGAAGGGATTAAAAGCAAAGAAACAACCAATCTTCGAGGACCTATTTAAAGATAAATACATCGGACGTCTCAGGAAACTGAATCATGATTTCAAAACTATTTGTAAAGAGTATTTAAACAATATTTAATTGAACCAAACTGAATCTACAATTGATAAAAAGGCTACATGTATATACCGTATAGCGGGTTTTCTTGGCGGGTGTAAAATTTGGCGTTTTAATTGCTCAAAGGTATGCCAATAATTTTGGCGTTTATTTCTTTACGGAAGTTAATTTTTTAAAAAGATAACTCAAATTAAATGAAATGCAGTGAAATTGAATGATGTGTTCCCTAGGTGGGCCCCTTATCTGCTCATTAGGGGGCCTTACATGTACCATGTATTACTTACCTTACATTCAACAGACAGGTTTGTTTGTTGTTGACTGTCCCTTTCGAAAATTTATTCACTCACATCGAGAGGCCAAGACACCTCCGAAACACTCTTCATTAGTCATGGTAAATTTTATTATCAAATTGTTTCAAGAGTGAAGAATTCTAGTTAGCTAAAGGCATAAGACTGAGACTTCGCCGTTGTTTTATTAAAAACTTTTTCTCATGCAGTAATCACATCTTGGCGCATTTTCTTCAACAAATCACAGTAGAACAATGTCGGCCGTTCTGCTAAAAACTGATTTTGATGAAATTGTATTTTATGAAACTTAGTTAACAATAAAAAAAAAATTGAATCTTCTTATTTAAAAAATCTTTTCAGTCGGTGCGATTTAATTGGGTCGGTCGCGTTAGGGGAAACAAAGGTATTTTTTATTTTGGCCTTAGCACATGTGTTTGTGGCATAAAGACAAACTACCCTATGATTGGAGAACAGACTTCATTGATGAGTGGAGATGATGTTTATAAATCTGATAAATGTGCTGCAGCTCCAGGCAGACCAGGATCAGATGATCGGAACTATGAGACTGAGGAAGGCTATTCTTTAAACAGAGGACTTCAGGGAAAAAGCACTCAAGTTAGACAGCAGTTCCTCCTGACTGGACTCCATGCCTGTGGAAATCTAACTCCCACAATGCTAAGAGTGTTCACTTCTTGTCCAGACATAGTGGGACTGGCATCTGTCGGCTGCTGTTATATGAAAATGTCTACCTCACTGTAAGTAAAGTGGTTAAAGATTTCATTTCTATAGTTTCTAAAATTTTATTGCAACATTTTTGTTCAAATTTAAGTTTTATCACTGTACAGTGTACTTGTATGTGCTTGGATGTTTTTATATATGGAGAAATATGATTTGAAGATAACATAATTTTTTTCTCAGTATGAGTGAAGAATTAGTGAAAATTTATAAAGTTAATAGTTAAATACCCTGTTACATGAACAAGTAAATTATTTTCACATAAAATGATTACATTAGTGTTTTTTTAATATTTACTTTGTAAACAAAGTTATTTTTGAATTGATTTTACTGACTTTGCATTTTTTTGTTTTTAGGAGCAGTAAATCAGACCCTGTGGGGTACCCCATGAGTGATTTTGTTACCAGGTTACCACACACGGCTCTTAGTTATGAAGCCAGAGAGATGGCCTGTCATTTTGCAGATTCCTACATCGAAAGATTGAAAGGTAATTCACAATATTAGACTTCATTATATCAAGGCTGTAGTCAGCAACTTAAAGCCATGACAACTGTTATTTGAGAGTTTTTCACAGATTGGTTCCTTGGCAAAGTGTTGCGAACATGCTTTGATAATGTAAATAGTTGGTTAACTGATTTTTCCCCCAATTTTTCCCAAAGTGGCAGTTCAATTTTATTTTTTCTCATGTTCTCATAGAAAAGTGTGAAAGTACAGTGAAACCTGTATAATCAGACATGCACTGGGAGACAAATCTTGTGTCGGAATAGACAGGGTGCCAAATTGCAGTGTTAAAAACAAGGAAAATTCTAAACTGGGAACGAAATTTTACGTCGGAATTTACAGTGTGTCGGATTATTCAGGTGTCAGATTACACAGTTTTCACTGTAAAAGATATACTGTGAAATCACTAATTCTCATGGGGGTTTAATTTTTGGTTTTCCAGGTATGAAGAGATCCATGAATTCATGTCCACCACAAAAAGTAAAATGTCATATTCATGACTACTCAACAATTGTTCATCCACAAAATCAAATCCCAATGAATCTGTAGATTTTCCTAAACCACGAAAATTTGACCCCACGAAAATATGAGATTTTACAGTATCACTAGGTTTATTGTTGTTTATCCTCAGGCTAATATCAGTGTTGTGTTTATTATTCATGGAAAAGTATGATACCTGTATAGAAATATCACTAGTTCTATTAGATGTTCTTCATCCATCATGTCCATAGGCTTATATCAGTGATGTTTTTATTATGCGCTTAGCTAACCCACCCTCTCTGAAGCTACACTGTTACAGAGCTGCCCTACAGTGGATAATTCTCTATTTAAAACCTGATTTTGTAACCGGGGCACAGAAATTGACCATTAGAAAAGCTGAAAAACTAACATTCAGGCAGTAAGTTTCTATTCAAATACTTGTACAATCATAATATTTATTTGACAATTGTTAATATTTTTGGGAAAAGAATTGTAATGTAATGAATGATTATTTATTTGTTAATCTTTTTGGTAAAAAAAATTTTGAATAAATGAATGATTTTTTATACTTACAGATATGTAAGTCTTGGACTACAGAGGCTAGGTTTGAACTATGAGGTGCCAGAGGAAATTCTGGTGGGAGCCACAGAGCTCCTACAGGAGTGGAGACAAGTGGTGACCTTCTACAGCCTCCGTCTGAGTCTGAGTCCAGTGGTGGAGACTCTGCTGTTACTGGACAGACAGGTGTACTTATATGAACAAGGTCAGTGTTTACATAGACAGACAGACAGATAGATAGACAGACATACAGGTGTACTCATATGAACTAGGTCAGTGTTTACAAAGACAGACAGACAGATAGATAGACAGACATACAGGTGTACTCATATGAACAAGGTCAGTGTCTATACAGCTAGACAGACAGACAGAATAATAGACAGACATGTGTACTTATATGATCAAGGTCAGTGTCTATACAGCTAGACAGACAGACAGATAGATAGACAGACAGGTGTACTTATACAAACAAGGTCAGTGTCTATATAGACAGCTAGACAGACAGACAGACAGGTGTACTTATACAAACAAGGTCAGTGTCTATATAGACAGCTAGACAGACAGACAGACAGGTGTACTTATACAAACAAGGTCAGTGTCTATATAGACAGCTAGACAGACAGACAGACAGGTGTACTTATACAAACAAGGTCAGTGTCTATATAGACAGCTAGACAGACAGACAGACAGGTGTACTTACATGAACAAGGTCAGTGTATATAAAGACAGACAGACAGATAGAGAGACTGACAGACAGTCAGACAGATAGGTGTACTTATACCAACAAGGTCAGTGTACAAACAGACAGACAGATAAACAGCTAGGCAGATGTACAGGTATGATCACGGCCAGTCTCTATACAGAAGCCTCTTTAGATTTGTTTCTAAGGGTCACTTATTTCTGGTAGATTCTAATAATCAATATTTTTACAAAATAAATTTTCTTTAGGATATAAATTAACATTTTCATTCTTGGCAAGCTGTTTTTTGGTCCAGAGTAGAGTGGACCAAGAACCTTTGACTAGCAAAGGTGATAAGGTTTACTCAGGAAAAGCAACAAAAATTGGTTTCCCGGGAATAGATTATTTAGGATGAGGTTATGTTTAATCAGTCAATAAATGCAAGCTATGGATGCATAATAAATTGTAGTGCAACGTCTTCAGTCTAAATCTGAATTATACCTTTCCATTTCTAGACTTCATTACAGTTACAAATAATCAGATATTGTACATATTTCTTTGTTTTCCTTCCAGGTATGTCATCTCTACTGTTACCAGTTTTTGATCCAAAGATTTCGCCAAGAAACTTTGTTTTGTTAGCAAAGAAGTGACATTGCATATAGAAATGACTTATCTTCTATAAAAAAGCTTATAGCTTAGTGGCATTTTGATTTTTTTTTATTAATGGAACTCATAATATCAAGTTCCAGATTTTTTTTAATAAATCAGTGTCACTGAAAATTAGATATAATTGTGATTTTTTAAGCATGTTTATAAAAAAAATTTTTACTGTGTTTTAATTTATTATGAAACAGAGCATTATTGTTTGTGAGACATAATTCAAAATGAAATGCATTATATAAATATTTTCCCTAAATAAACTTATGAAAGAGCAGCATGTTTTATTTTATAGTAAACTAGATACTTACTAGAGGGGTCAGAGATTAAAAGTTATAAGCAAGGATAAAGATTTTGCACATGTAGGTCAAACTAGTGGTTGAAGGAAAAGATTTAAAACCAGAAATATCATAAGGAAGGTCTTGTCACAAGGAATCACACAAAATATATGAAAACACTAGCATCAATCAATCAAAATATGTCCAAAGTCGAAATCAAAATTTAAGGTATAAAATGGTGCTACAAAAAGAACCTTCTGGACACTGTCACACATGGAATGTTTTTTTTTTTTTGAAAATTAAAGCCCTAGCACCAATTACTCAAAACTTGAACACAGAGTTCAAATGTGGTAAAACTTTCAAAAAGGAGGTCAAACTCAAACTCAGGTATCTGAATTAACAGACCAGTAGGACAGACATACCAGCAAGTTTATATGCCCCTGAATATTCGATTACTGGGTATACGAGTACATGTAATAACTGATGGACATTTAAGGAATCACCGTCTAGTTAGAAGAATATGCCAAGCACACCAACGATAGTTGGAAACGTGGGATAACTTATGAATAACAGTCTCCATATTCATTTTTTGATGGCATGAAATTATAAATCTATTCTAAAGTTCAAAAAGTAGGCTAAATAGATTTAAAATACACAAGGCCTCCTATGTCAATTTCAATAGTACCCGCCCACTGACGTCAAAAACAAAGACAGCCGTATGTGATTAAAATGCATATACCAGGAGGTATTTTTTCCTCCTTAAGTAGCGTCAGACACAAAGACGCGCACGAGATTTAAATGAATAATATTATACATTCATTGCATGATAGTGAGGGAAATATGAAGACTTATTCTACCAAGAAAAATCATATTCTCCGAGGGCTTCGCGAGGGGAATGTCCCGAACATTCATGCAATGAATTGTTTATTATACCGAAACAAGCAAAACCTTTGAAATAAACATAAACTTTCCAATTCGGCACCGCTCTCAAATTCACTTTCATTTTTTACGTAAAGTTACTATAAAACCCTTTGGTCAACACATCATCAAGTTTGTGACGCAAACTAGGCTATTGTGACCTCTACTACTCTCGGGAGTTTTCGTTCAACGAACGAGAACTATATTGCGGGAAAATACACTAGGTGTTCCGAAGAGGTGTAATATGATGAACAGCGTGCCGACGACCGTGAAATATGAAGTTTTACAGCCCGATCACGGGATAACTTAGAACCAATTAGATAACGCGTTGTGTATAATATTATTATGAGGTATAATAATAGGCCTTCTTGGCTTCTGACGTATCGCTTGACGAAATTAACATACGGGGTTGTGATCAACAAATCGAGTAAACGAATTTTCAAAGTTATCACAGCGAAATCAAATTGAAATAGACATATAAATATTTATTTTAAATCAAGAAATATATACTTTGATGTAAAGTGTGATAAGAATACATGTTATTAATTTAAACCCTAATTTCTTTGAGGAAAGGTAGATATAGACAACCCCCATTGTAATATCACCCTACCAACAAGCTTCACATAAATAAAGTATTCATGAAATAGAATACCCTCAACACTGATTGTCGTATTATCATTGTTAACACAGATTTTGAGAATCGGATCTAGAACATCAATTTAAACACTACAATGTTTGAGCAAGACAAACCTTCATGAATTTCCTCCACTTCTGTATCACTATTTGTCTTAGTTCAGAAATATGACGGGATATTTGTGTAATTTTTCTATTCAAACATCTATATCGAATGTAAATATGAGTAATAAAATAAAAAACAAGATGAAAATTTCGCTGTGAAATTGGTTGGTATTTTATCACACATACCGGGAAGCACTAATTTAGATATTTATGTAAGTCCTTTTCGATACCCAGACCACAATTGGTATCTTTATAGCCCATTCAGATATCAAAACCGATATGTTTGTATTCATAGTTTTGTCGATATAGTCCAGTGTGTTTTCGAATCAAAACCGATATCTGTGTTTCACAGAGATGTAACAAATAATTATGTCTTCACAGCTAACTTAGATATCTGGAACGAAATCTGTCTCTCCAAAGCTGCTCACGGAGATATGAAGTTTAATATCTGTTTTGGGTCTATCTCTCTCTGTTTCCAAAAACCAACAATACAAGGAAAGCGTGTTCCGTGAGTGAAGACCTGTATTTGATTGCAAGACAGTTGAGCTTCAAACCTTGACTTTTTTTGTAAAAAAAACTTCCATCTTACCCATAAATGTTTGACAACTACACATTTTAATATGAGGAACTTTATTGGTATTCAGAAATATACAATATATTTCTTGATAATACAGATTGTTGGGAAATAAAACATTCCTAATTATAACAACAATAATTTGAATTCTACAATAATATTATTAACAATCCGCATTTTTTTTTAATATTTATTCATATCATTGAATTTGATAATATAATATAATGACTTTTATGAATATAATATAATTACTAATGAAAAAAGAAATCAAACCTAACACTCATAAAAATCTAAAAATAATCATTAAAATAAAACTTAAATGCTCAAAAGATATTAAAGATATTTCAAAATTTGTTCACTTTAAATGAAAAATGGCACTTTTTTCTACTCCAAGTACATCATTTTCTTTGTATTGGTTTGTAAATAGTAAAACATTCTATATAAATATCCATGTGATATGGAGGTAACAAAGAGTTTTCAAGCTAAAAAGTCCATTCAAACAATATTTATACAAATCAGGAGCAGACCAAACAAAGATCTCCGATAGGTTATCAGAAGTGTGTCCAAGTGAGCGACCGGTCACACTGCCGTGTGTTTTTTTTGTCATGATCGTGTATATAAACGAAAAAAATCCTAAAACAAATCAGTGTAAATAATGACCTAACAATTAGTATGATAAACGCCTATCAGCATTTGATTAATTGAATGATTTAGATTGTATTTGCTGACAAGGTCATTGTATCCATTGTAGAACATACAAAATAATGACGTTACACGAGAACGTTCATTTTCTTTCATCATAAATTCAAATTTTCATTGTTTTTTGGAAGTCTTCTTTTGAACAGATTGAAACTGAAGCACAAAGGGATGCTTAATGCTCCAAGGCACCCGATCCTACCTTTATACCCTATTCACTCGTATTGTTTGTAGATTGTCCGAGGATGATCACTGTTCATAATCTTCACCTTTTCATTTTATACCTCTTCATCATACAATATTGAGCACACCGACAGACATATGTTATATCTTAAAATGTTTAATTGATTCATGCATCAAGGAAATAATATTTATCTTTGGCATATTGAAAAAGAAACTCATAACTTCTAAACCATTGACATGTTTCACCCAGTTTAATTTTTGCCCCAAATTATGGTATTTAGAGAACAACAAAGATAATGCATTTATTTATAATGTTTTCTTCAAACTGTTAGTAAAACATGGGTAAAAAGAAGTAACAAGAGGCCCATGGGCCACATCGCTCACCTGAGCACTGTGGCTAGGTAAAAATATAAATTGGTTTATTATTGAAAAGGTAAAATCCAAAAGTAGTCCCATGAACAATCATGGATTTTCTATCTTTGAGAAGATGATTTTTACAGAATTTTCCTATATATTTCTATGTAAAACTTTGGTCGGCCATTTTTGCCCCGCCCTACCCCCGGGGGTCATGATTTGAACAAACTTGAATCCACACTACCTGAGGGTGCTTCCATATAAATATGATGAATTATGGCTTGGTCATTCTTGAGAAGAAGATTTTTAAAGATTTTTCCTATATATTTCTATGTAAAACTTTGGTCAGCCATTTTGGCCCCGCTCTACCCCTGGGGGTCATGATTTGAACAAACTTGAATCTACACTACCTGAGGATGATTCCCCATAAGTTTCATCTTTCCTGGCACAGTGGTTCTTGGGAAGAAGATTTTTAAAACATGCCATCAAATTTTCATTAATTCTCAATTATCTCCCCTTGAATGAGGGCGTGGCCCTTCATTTGAACAAACTTGAATCCCCTTCACCCAAGGATGCTTTGTGGTAAGTTTGGTTGAAATTGGCCCAGCAGTTCTTGAGAAGAAGTCGAAAATGTGAAAAGTTTACGGACAGACAGACAGACGGACAGACGGACGCCGGACAAAATGTGATCAGAAAAGCTCACTTGAGCCTTCGGCTCAGGTGAGCTTAAAAAGGTAAGAACATAGTTGAACAATATAGTAAAAATGGCAAAATAATAAAGAAAAAAGCTTTTGATTTTTTTTTCCATCGCAAACATTTAAAGAAACACATTTATACTAAAACAAGTGAAATATCCATAAATAAAAAACAAAGTTTCAACAAAAAGCTATACAGGATTAAAAAAAGGCAGAGATATGTAAAATTAAAACCCTATTCAAAGTTATTAAACAAGTTTTTAAGTTCTTAATAAAATATATATAACTATTCTCTTTATATCACATGTATGCACTGTTTAAAGACCGATTGTTCTCTTATTTTTTTGTGAACGTGGTAGGTCGTGAAGTTGCCCTACATTGTTATGTTTATGTTTTCTGTAATGGTTGGAATAGTTGGAAAATGATATTCTGTTTGGAATAATGTAAGAGGTAAAGACATTCATGAACACATATCGATCTTGAAAAAAAATTATGAGCAGTACAGAGAGGGCATAATCACGGACCCCTGGAAATTACTGGGAAGGAATCTGGGGCTAAGAAGGAGGGAGCATCCCTTATCGAACCAGACACTCCAACCTGTGAATTGTTGAGGTAGACGTAAACGTCCATAACAAATCAATAGAAATTTCTTAAAGGAATATATTTAACAGTTACATTGCGGAAGGAGAAGTGCAAGTAGGGGAAGTAGAAAACATCCGAATGGAAGCACTTTGTAAGAATGTCCTAACTGTCCGCTTGTCTGGTCATCCGTGCAATTAACTGAAAAATAAAACAAAAATTATTTCCTACACTTCTGATTTTATATGAGATAACATTTGAAGGATAAAATATTATGTTTATTAAAAGTGAGATAAAATTTGAAGGTGAATAAAACTTATGTTTATTTTTTAAAAAAAATCAAATTTAAAGTCATGAACAGATCTAGTATGTAGAGCTGATTAATTAAAAGATAAAACAAATGAATCTAAAGTCAGAATATCTAGCTTCCAGTTTGAAAATTTCTGCAATTTTTTTCTCTCTCATTCCAACATTCTTAAGATATTTTTTCTTTTTAAAATATGTTACTTAAATAAATTGTTTAAATAAATCTATATGACCGATTATCGTCTACCCCGTGTCTAATCTTTATTTTCTTATCAAAAATCATTAATATAGGGTCAACGTTCTTGTTTCACTCGTCAAATTTTATGTGGACCTGTCAGATCATTTTATTGACTTTTAACTTAACACTTGGCATCTGATACAAGCTCTGATTTATTGGTGGTTTGTGTTTGCCCTGCTTCCTTTAGATGAGACCGTATAAACCGAGGCCCCGTGTCACAGCAGGTGTGGCACGATAAAGATCCCTCCCTGCTCAAAGGCCGTAAGTGCCGAGCATAGGCCTAAATTTGCAGCCCTTCACCGGCAATGGTGACGTCTCCATATCAGTGAAATATTCTGGAGAGGGACGTTAAACAGTATACAATCAATCAATATACCTTGGTAACATATAATGTTTACAGATACAAACCTTTTTAATTGAAATGTTCATGTTTTTTATTACATTGTTTACTTGTAAAATTCATATTAAAAGTTTTTCTTTTTTTTTTACCTGCAATGTTTGTATTTACGGATATTTATCTTATTTACTTACTAGTACGTTGTTTAGAGATACATACATGCACTATGTTTACATGTAATAATGGTATTTACAGATATTTATCTTATTTACATGCTAGTACATTGTTTACAGATACATACGAGGGTTGTCCGTAAAGTTCGTGGACAACATTGATAATTACTGACAAACATTGACAAAATATATGAAACAATTATTTTCATTAAATTCATGTTTCATTTTATAAATATTCAAGTTTTCAACAAAAACAAAGCACAAATAGTTATATTTTTATCAGATACAAAAAAGACACACTCTCATACCCGGAGCACTGAAACGTACATTCTTGACGTTACCCGACGTCAAATGCTATATACGAGCACATGTAAATTTTCTCAATATAGTTACCGTTTAACTCAATATATTTCTTATGTCGTTTTAATCAGTCATAAAAATGTGCACAAAATGTTCAGGTTTTATTCGTAAAATAATATTTAACAATGCCTGTCTCATATCTCGCAATCTTCCAACCTCTGTCCGTGTAAAGACGATTTTATTTACGGAAATACGTAAGTCATGATCACGTTTAACTTACAAAATTCATTTTTTACAGCACTGCAATGTTGGAATGATGGTCTTCCTTCACACATGTCATCCTGTAAACTGTTTCTTCCGCCCGAAAATTATATATTCAACTTAAATACTTAGGAAGGGTTTTTTAAATATATTTTCCCCGACTGTTTACAGCATTTATGGGTCTCTGTTTGTGTTTTTCCGATATCTACACAGAATTTTATCGCTGCTCTCTGCTCCACCTTTTCCGAAAACATCCCTTTTTCGAACAATCTCGATCCTGTCTTATTAGATTCTAACCTCGATTTCTCAGCCATTTCTAAACTCTGAACGTTCAAATTTTGCAAGTTTGAAGATTTAACTTTTGTCAACCACATAATGTAAAAGAAATACGAATTTCCGCGGAATTTGACAAAATACAAATGATATTTATAAAGTAATAAATAAATTTTTAATCAAAATATTGCAGTGCCCCGGGTCACCATACCAAACCCAATAATGAAGCCATAATTTTAAATATATATTTGAAATTGAATATAATTTTACATTTGGATTCTCATTTAGTATAGGATTATAAATATGTTAATAATAAATATCAATGACACTATTTTTATTTAAAGTTTAGCTTGTCCACGAACTTTACGGACAACCCTCATATACCATGTATACCTGTAATAGTTAAGTTTACGAATATTTACCTTGGTTACTTGTAATGTTGATGTTCAAAAATTGTCCATCCATCTCACATTGTATCTCTTGCCCATACACGTATGGTAGAATTAACTGAGCACCATTCGGGATACCTGAAAAGTTACAAAACACAACGTTTAAGTATTTCAGAAAAAAAATATATCTTGAAAAAACTGCATATTAGACAATCCTTTCTCTGATTTGATCATAACTGCTGTAATAATCATTTTTACGATTCTAAAATTTGACGTTGTAATTGTCATTGAAAATTAAATAGATGTATTATCAAGCTTAAAAAATTTATCAGAATTGAATATAAATAATGGATACCCGTGGCTGAGTTTGTTATTTTTAAGACTTTGATATAAATACTGGTGACCTGTGGTTGACTGTGTTATTAGTCCCCTACTGGTGAAACTGGAGGGGATTATAGGTTTCTTCTGAGTCTGTTTGTCTGTCTGTCCGTTCTTTTGTCCCTTTGTCTATGAGTCTGTCCCACTTGGTTTCTTTTTTTAACGCTTGCAGATATTTAGCTGATTCTTGGTATGTAAGTGCATCTTGATGAGTTAAAATTCAAGTTTGAATTTGGTTCTGCGTCATTGATCTTTGACGGAATGACATGGTATTTATCCCATTTTTTTAAAAAAATGGGATTACTATCGGGTTCCTGATGCAATAAATTAATGTTCCATACGAGCTTGTATTATATAGAGAAAAGGGGAACCCGGTAGGGGACATGCATAAACCGTTTCACGGTAACTGCGGTACTGCTCTTTTGCAGGGCAAAATGATAAAGTTTGGTGAAATATGACGTAAAAGTAAATGTGAAATATACGTCGTTTAATTATCTCTCATCAAAAACTTCGTCAAATGTTATTATTTTGCCCTGCAAAAGAGTAGTACCGCAGTTATTGTGAAGGGGCTAATTACTTATACAATACTCTCAGTATGCTTGTTCATGGGACTTTGGTATAAATACTTGTATTCTTTGGCATACTCTCATACATTCTTGTGATTTTTCCTGCCTCCTGCACGTAACCAACATGTTTCTGGTTGTTAAGTTTTTTATCGTCATTCCATGTTTAGATAAGTTGTAGGAGTTGTGTTCACATGTTATCTGCACATGCGTTCTGTTGCATCCGACAGAGTGATTAAATTGAGATACTAAAACAATAGAATAATACTCTTTTAAAACAAATATTCTTCAATGAAAAAAAATTGCAAACAAATCAATCAAATAAATAACAAAACTAGAGGTACTGTGAGCAATGAGCTCACTAAATGATACCCCCCGCCTCCCATAATGTCGATGTGTTGCTTTATATTGTTTTACGGTAATGTGTAAAGAGGAATAACTCCTCCTATCAATGTTATCCAGAAGCTTCTATTATGTGACGTCATAGGTAAACAAAAAATGGCAATGTCCATGTTTTGCTCTGGGAAACCTAAAATACGTGTCGAATAAAAAAGTAAAATAGGAGGTGCACAATGGCAATATGTAATAAAGATTCTGTGAAAGTTTCATTAAATTTCACTCAGTAGTATAAGAGGAGTTGCGGATAAGAGATAAAGCGTAACAGACGGACGGACAGACGGACGGACGGACGTACAGACGGACGGACGGAAATCCCGATCACTATATACCCTCCCACTTTTCAAGCGGGGGGTATAATAAGAGGATGGAGGGAAAATCAATTCAAATAACTAAACCTGTATTCAACATGTTCAACGTCACTTTTAAGAGCAACAGAATTTCATTTTTATATTAGAGACCCTTCCTTCAAAATGTACACAAAATGATCAGAGCCCTTTATTTGATGTTTACATAAAAAACAATTGATTGCAGCCTTTACGATAGGTGTTGTATTAGTTGATATAACAATATTTATACTGTAAATTTCCTCTCAGACAATCTAAAAAAAATTTGTTTGTCGCCCAAAACACTCTATACTGTATACGCTGGAAATGTCCTCTCAAACTTAAAAAAGTTTGTTAGTCGCCCAAAAAACACTGAAATGGTAATAAACATTTGCAAAACAAAAATTAGACGAAGTAACTTTTGTTTTTGACTTAGAAAAGTGCATCGGTAAAGAAAATAACAGGGAGAACGGTAGACAAATCAATCAGAAACTGGGGTTTTGATTCAGTTTGGTAGACTTGTGATCATATAACAGATTTTCTCATTTTTGAGCTTCTTTACTGTTCGTTATCTCAATATTTCAGTATCGATGCAGCAAGTTGAATTTACTTTATTTAAAATGCAATACTTACTTTATTTACAATGTTATACTTACGACATGTAATGTAATACATGTAATACTTACTTTATTTACAATGTAATACTTACGACATGTAATGTAATAAGATGTAATACTTACTTTATTTACAATGTAATACTTACGACATGTAATGTAATAAGATGTAATACTTACTTTATTTACAATGTTATACTTACGACATGGTACCATGTGTAAATCATATTCAAAGACACGTCCATTCGAACACGTGACGCTTACTTCCAAAACATTGTCGATGTGTGATTTATAATCCATAGGGAAGAAAACATTGAGAATGTTGTCTTTCCCGCTGAATTGTCCACCCTTTACACATATTCTGTTCTCACAGTGTGTTATTTCGTTTCCTCCTCTTATTTTAGCTCTAGCTCCACGGAATTCACAGGTGACATGGATGCTTGCATTTAACATCTCACCATCACATACTCCTTGACTGAGTTCTTCTTGATTCAGAAAAACGGATGAGCTTCCCACAACTAAAGAAATCGTACATAATTATAATGTATATCAAGTATTTTTAAATGAATAATTGCGTGCTTGAAATGAATAAAATGTCAACAACCAATGTAAAAAAGCATTTAAAAAAATACATTCTTTAATGGCAGACCATCCTCGTTAAATATGACTCAATGTAACCCAAATTGTCGACATATGGAGGGAATTGAGATTTTGAGGTTATACGATGGATAAAGTTTAATTAGGTGGTAAAAATTTCCGAATAACATTAACATTGTCATGGTACCGAAGCTAAAAAATGTATTACATGTATTACAGGCATTATTGGCTGGCTACATTTAATACTGTTTAGCAGCAGGAAATACTGTTCATATAGGAGCATAAAGATTGATTATGTTTTAATACATTTTTAACAGTGAAATACTGTAATTTATTCATTGAATAAAAATGATATTCTGTCACAGAGTGAAAGGATTTCGAGATTAAAACAGTATGAAAAATATCAGAAGTGCGGTGAAACTACTGGATTTTCCTTCCAATAACAAAGAATGTTGTAAAATATACTCCTTGTGTAATAAAAGAAATCTGACATATAGAATAAAACCGACAAAGATCCCCAAATATGTTGTTGAAATCCTTCTTTACAACGTTTTCATCTCACAACACTTAGCTATAATGTCTCAACCGCTCGACTATGACGTCATGTAGCCTGGAACTCCATTATAAAAAAACGAGGAAAAGGGAAAATTAAAGAAAATGTAGTAAACAGAAAATTCAATTTTCGCAATCGTGAAACTATACTGAAAGGAAAAAGAAACGCACAAGAACATGATATGGGAAAACTTTCTGACTATGTGACCGAAAATTATGAAAATTGGTCAGTTGTTTATTTTGGCTACTTTGCACTAAAATCACTTGTCAAAACTACTCAACTATGAAATGTATGGCATCACGTATGGGAAATGATAAATAGTAAAAAAACACGTGCATGTTAATGATGATAATTTTGTAATAAAATTTTGTAGTACCATACTATGCATTAGAATAATAGACATCGTTTTTGCATATTTGCAGTCAGTATAAATTTCTTGCAATCGTGGTATGACTGGCGGAATCTACTGTGGGTTTAGTAATTGAATTCAATATTGCATAAGTGAATAAAAAGGCAAAAACATGCTGATGTACAGATTGTTTTCAACTTTTCAACCAAATAAAAGTATTTTTTGGTTGTCAGAGAGTGAACTTAAAATGTTCCCAACCAACCATGACGGTGACGTTGGCGCGTACCAGCGTCACAACAAGATAGGGCTTTTCATCACGCCACCTCGGTTATTGTCAAGGCATTATCACCGAAACTGATATTTATTCAGCAGACAAACATACTCACTTTCCGCTCTAGTTTGGGCCGCGAGCTTGGCCAGCTTACGTCAATTTTACTCTCAAACGCACACGTACGCGTCGTTTGCGTAATGTTTTTTAGCATATTTACACTGGAAAAATTAGCTAATATTTGTCAATACTTTTTTACAACCATTCACAAGTACCAAACCTGCTGAGTTCTGTATATTCTATCCTAAATCGAAAATTCGCGGGATTCGATTGAGCGGGGGCATTTGTTATCATTGGAATAATACAGATAATCTCAGCTATTAAGACTACCGTCGGAAGGGTTGACTAATAATGCTATGAAAAAAATAAATGCTCTGTTGAACTTAAAGCACAGGAAAATCAAGTTTGTTACTGATGCGAAAGGGAGATTATGAGAATTTTTAGTTTTATTTTTTGGGGGTGACACCATATTGATATCAGTATCCCAGGAACTATCACTCAAAATCGCACAAAATTTTGGTAACTTGTTGATTAAAGATGAATTAAAATGTATGATAAAAATACTGAAAAACATATTTGAAATAATTGTTTTAATTTAACTCAAAAGTTTAATATGCGTTTCTTAATCCTTTCAGTATATAAAGAAAACCTGTCCCACTCGTGATATAAATTCCATATTCAACTACAAAACATATTGAATATCCTCTATATCTGCAATGTTCGGTCGTAGACAGACACTTATTTAATCAAAGAATTTTACTTACGTGGACACTGTAATGACACAGGAATGCTGTATAGATTATCAAATCTTTAGAATAATCAAAGCTTACTCAGATTTCTCAATTTTCTTTTCAGATGATAACAGCAAATTATCGGCACACTAATAACATGAGCAATATCAATAAGTATGGCAAAATTGACGACTATAAATTGATGTCATTTAAGTATATAACAAATAACGTCTAAAATTACCTTGTAGTGTTAAATATAAAATACACTGACGAATTATCCAGCTGTCTGCATAAATAATCTGCATGATACATATGGCACACTGAATATGTCTCCTTGTTAAAGTCTTGTTAATTCGATATTGCTATGATAAAAAAAAGAATGAAAAAAATTTAAATGACCCGTTTCTTTATACAATGTCAGAAGCCAGAGTAGGGGTGACGTGCATCTTAACTAGGTCTCAGAGGGATAGGAGATCACGTATCTAAGAAATTTACGTTAGGGTACTGACTTTTGACATGTTGAAACTGAAACTGGTTTATTTGAATAAACGCCTATTTTTACTTCAACATATTAAATGGCGTTGTACTAAACCTGTAAAATAAATATTGACGTATAATAAATACAAATATTCATAGATACATGGGAAGTGATAATTAAAATAAAGCATTTAAATCCATAAAGAAGTACTTTTAATTTTTTTTTTAAGTTTGACTTTTTTTATGTACAGAGGCAGTTCATTACACAATTTTGGTCCCATTGTATGAAAGCTCCTGTCGCTGAAAGTTTTCGATGACCTTTTATCAAATGGTACTGTATAACAACTTTCATAATTTCGAGAAGTACGCAATTAAGCTGTTTCATAATTATATAGAGAACAATATGATACCCTTTTCCATATCACATTCTGTATCAGCCCGAGATATTTCGGTCCAGGTAGTGTTATTGGTCGAGGGCTGAAACAGGGTGTGATATGGGAAAGGACGTGTTTATTATGTTTATTATATACTTGGTATTAAAACACAACAGACATTAACTTGATATATAAATAAATAATCATGCATGGACTTCTGACATGAACAAAGCTCCTGGTCTCACGCTGTTTGGGTACATTTCTACCTCAATCTCAAATGTGTCCTATCTATAGTTTGAAACAATCTTCTGTCAATTAGATGATCTTTACATTTTAATAAAGTTACATTTCAGAGAATGCCCCCCAAATATAGTTTATGACTTAAGGAATATTGCAAACATTCAAAAATCCTCTTTTAATATAACGCTGTGTTTACCGATATATTTTATGAAATAGGTGCAATTAAATTGCCGTATTTTTTTTAATTAATAAAGCATCCTTTAAAATTGTGATATCTTGAATATATCCCCAAAAAATTCATAACTTTCCGATCGGATGTTCGTTCCAAAAATAAGAGTTCATCATTAGGATTGAATAAATGTTGTTTAGTAATTGTAATCTTGATGTTCTCAGTAGATGTCAAATAAAATATGCATATATTCTTAAAAGTTTACATGCATATTCCGATTTACTTCTACATGGACATGATATCGAGGTGCCGAAGTTAAAATATAAATTAATGAACTCACGTATTTACAAAGTCATTGTACATGTGGTATTGAGGTGCCGAAGTTTAATAAAAGGGAAAATGAACTTATGTATTTACAGGCATATTGGAGTACATTAAATTCTATTTAGTAGCAGGAAATACTACTCAGTATATATATATATATATATATATATATATATATATATATATATATATATATATACATATATAGGGCAGTTATATTAGTTAAAGAGTTGTTGTAATTTGTGCTTTCTAAATAAAATTAAATAATTTCATCACAACATGTATTGGTAACAATCCTCTAATAAAATAATGTCCAAATAACTGTACCTCACTTCCATTCTCAATGACCGTGTAGTGTAGGGCAGCGTTGTGAGAATTCCATCGGCATCAAAAGCAAGTTTTTTAACTTGCCTAGATAGCCGAGCGGTCTAACGCGCTGTTCCTGTACTGCTAGGAGACAGATTCCGTAGATCGAGAGTTCAACCCCGGGCTGGGGCGGAAGTGAGTATCCTTGTAAAAGTGAATTTCTCTGTGCTTTCTCTCTCTCTCTCTCTCTCTCTCTCTATATATATATATATATATATATATACAGGGGCATTAAGATTGATAATGAAATGAATGGATGATATTAGCTGTTCGATCGTAGAAACGTATATAGTGCAGGAATTTTACTTACATGGGCAATGTGATGACAGAGGAATGCTGTATAGATTATCAAATCTTTGGAATAATCAAAGCTTACTCAGATTTTGTGATTTTCTTTTCAGATGATAACAGCAAATTTTCTGCACACTAATAACATGATCAATATCAATAAGTATGGCAAAACTGACGACTATAAATTGATGTCATTTAAGTATATAACAAATAACGTCTAAAACTACCTTGTAGTGTTAAAAATAAAATACACTGACGAATTATCCAGCTGTCTGCATAAATAATCTGCATGATACATATGGCACACTGAATATGTCTCCTTGTTAAAGTCCTGTTAATTCGGTATTGCTATGATAAAAAAAAGAATAAAAAAAACTTTAAATGACCCGTTTCTTTATACACTGTCAGAAGACAAAGTAGGGGTGACGTGTATCTTAACTAGGTCAGAGAGGGATAGGAGATCACATATATATGAAATTTACGTTAGGGTACTGACTTTTGACATGTTGAAACTTAAACTGGTTTATTTGAATAAACGCCAATTTTTACTTCAACATATTAAATGGCGTTGTACTTAATTTGTAAAATAAATATTGACGTATAAATAATAAATAAAAATATTCATAGATACATTGGAAGTGATAATTAAAAAGCATTTAAATCCATAAAGAAGTACTTTTAATTTTTATTTAAGTTTGACCTTTTTTATGTACAGAGGCAGTTCATTCCACAAATTTGGTCCGATCGTATGAAAGCTCCTGTCGCTGAAAGTTTTCGTAGACCTTTTTTTTAAAATGGTACTGTATAACAACTTTCAGAATTTCGAGAAGTACGCAATTAGGCTGTTTCATATAGAGAAAAATATGATATCCTTTTCCATATCACATTCTGTAACAGCTCGAGAAACCGTGGTCCACTAGATGTTATTGTTCGAGGGTGAAACAGGGTGTGATATGGGAAAGGACGTGTTTATTATGTTTATTATATACTTGGTATTAAAACACAACAGACAGGAACTTGATATATAGATAAATAATCATGCATGGACTTCTGACATGAACAAAGCCCCTGGCCTCACACTGTTTGGGTACATTTCGACCTCAATCTCAAATGTGTCCAATCTGTAGTTTGAAACAATCTTCTGTCAATTAGATGAGCTTTACATTTAAAAAAATTACATTTCAGAGAATGCCCCAAAATGTATTTTATGACTTCAGGCATATTGTAAACATACAAAATCCTCTTGTAATATAATGCTGTGTTCACCGCAATACTGGTATTTTATGAATAGCTGCAGTAAAATTGCTGTATTTTTTTTTTCAAATTAATAAAGCTTCCTTTAAAATTGTGATATCTTGAATATATCCCAAGAAAAATCAAAACTATCAGGTGCAAATGTTCGTTAAAAAATAAGAGTACATCAATAGGATTAAATAAATGTTGTTTAGTAATTGTAATCCTGATGTTCTCGGTAGATATCAAATAAATTATGTACATATTCTTAAAATTTTACATGTGTATTCCGATTAACTTCTACATAGATATTATATCGAGGTGCCGAAGTCAAAATATAAATGATGAACTTACTTATTTACAAAGTCATGGTACATGTAGTATCACATGTAGATTAAATGAACTTATGTATTTACAGGCATATTGGAGTACATTAAATTCTATCTAGTAGCAGGAAATACTACTCAGTATATATATATAGGGGCATTAAGATTGATAATGAAATGGATGGATGATATTGTCTGTCAGATGTTTTGTGGTAGACATTTATTGGTGCAAAAATTTAACTTACATGGGCGGCCGGGCCACTGTAATCACTCAGGTATGCTGTAAATCCTTAGAATAATCGAAGCTTACTTAGAATTTCTATTTTCTTTTCAGATGATAACAGCAAATTATCCATGTTATCGGCACACAAATAACATGTGCAGTTACAATACGTATAACAAACTGACGACTGTAAATTCAAGTCGTTTACCTTGCAGTGTTAAAAATAAAATACACTCCTTTACCTTGCAGTGTTGAAAATAAAATACACTGTCGAATAATTCATCTGTCTGCATAAATAATATGCATGATAATATGACACACTGAATATAGCTCCTTGGATAAAGTCTTGTTATTTCTATATTGCATATACGTATGACCATTAACTTTAAAAAGATAACTTTTAAATGGCCCGTTTCTTTATATATTGCCTGAAGAGTGATTTTTATCTGGGTTAGAACTTAAAGGGTTTGGAGATTACTCATCTTATCAATTTATGTCTGGGTATTGACTCGAAATTTCGCATTGCAATATATAGAGAAAAATACATACTTGTAAATCTGTAAATTTTTATGTCGATTTTATTTAGCGAATTCGGGTTAAAATTATGTTGATTATTTTTTACGTTTCAAAATTTTGCGAATGACCACTGCTTTGTTTAAATTCTCTTACTGGTGATTTAATTTTAAGAAAATTATTTTTGCGAATGCAGTGCACTCACAAATTTGCTAAAAATTTATCTATCTCCAGCAAAAATTTCCAGATTTACGATACCCTTTTCCACATCACACTTTGTATCAGCCCGAGATACTTCGGCCCACATGGTAATATTTTTTGAGGACTGAAACGGGATGTGATGCTGAAAAGTTTTTGTTTTATTATCTATATTTTGTACATACTAGGTGTTAAAACACAATACACATGAACTAATATATAAATAAATGATAATGCACGGACTTCCGACTGGTTGTGTAAGTTTCTACTTCTATTTCGAATGTACCCTATCTACAGTTTGAACAAAATCTGTCAATCCTTAAAACAAAAAAGGTTAAAATTAAGGACAGATGATATAAACAAACTTTTGTTTATAAAAATTAATAGCGAGCGCAGCGAGCGTCGCGAAGCGACGCTCGTCACTGCGAGCCCTAACGACAACGCCTGGGCGAAGAGAAAATTCGAAATACTGCACATTCATTCCTCAGAATTTTTTATCTGCAGTAATTTTGAGCCACAATGCATCACTTAGCAAAGTTGCTTTCTCGCGAGAATGACGGCATATGTTCAACAAAAAGTTTACTAGCGTTGATTAAATGGATACATATTGAAGATAAATTGTAAATGTAACCTTTTTCATTAACTTTCAGCACTGTTCAGTTTTTTTCTTGGTATTTGTTACTTACAGACGACGTCATGTGACGTCAGAGTCTAGAAGCACCAAATGTCACATGCGGTTTGACGAGCCCGATCTAAATTAAAACATTCAAGAGTTTGCGCTCGCTCTAACGGTCGCACCGTCAACATATTAAAATAACGATTTAATCATGTTTACGTAGGTCAATATTCAAATGAACAAGTTTAACCAAAATTTTGATTTCTTTTCATTCAAAGGGATCTGATATGTCAAAAAATTATATACAGTATTGAGGATGATTGGTAAAAGATATACTTTTGGACACCAGAAATGTTTACAATTTCTAAATCTTTTTGAAATTTATTATTTTAACCAATTACAACAAGAATAGGCCCAACATAAATACAAATCAAGACGTCCATTTCTTGTTTGTGTCATCAGACTTAATAGAATGCCCCCACCCTTCTGAAAAAGGTGTTCTTTCACAAGTGCTATTAGGTTTAATTAACTAGGGGTGTTATATTATTAGCTATTCAGGTTCAATAAAGGGTGTACGGGGATTTATCCCGGGTTGTATGCCAAAGGATGTATGGAATACAGCCCAGGGTAAATCCCCGTACGCCCTTGATTGAACCTGAATCACGAATTTATTTCCTATTTATCCGTAAAATTTATTTGTAAAAAAACATAAATTCAATTTACTGTGTCTCAACCTATCTATAAATCATTTATACCACGTACTACAGCGCATTGTGACGTCACGTTTTATTTACCTCCAGCTCAAGTCGGGTGTACGGAAATTTACAACCGACTTTGTAACCAATCAAAGCTCTTGTTACAAGCTACATAGGAAATAATGATACGTATCAGACCTGCAAATACATATCAGCCATATATAGTTTATACAGCTATTTTAACTTCAGGCATACTGCAAAAAAATCCTATTTTTTTTACTTGTTTTTTAATAAACTGCAATATTTTAAGCTGCATTGCAATAATACAATTTTTTATATAGTTTATTAATATTCCCTATGCTATCTATACAAACGCAAACAGTTCATTACACTCATATTCATCGGATTTTAGGCTGTATTCACCGGAGGGTCAATGCGCGTGCAACGGCATTGTGACGTCACATTCAAAACATCCAACAACGTTGTAAACAATTGTTGCAACGGCCGCAGCGAGCTATGTATCTGAGCAGGAAAACAATTACTAGTATTCAAACGTTTTTCATGATTATTTTTTTTTAATTTGGACATCTTACACATAGCAAAACTCGAAAAGGAAAACACGGAGGTTACAAACAGTAATCTGGATTTTTTTTTAATTTTAACAATGGAAAATCGCAAATGAAAATGGTGTCGTCATACAGCTTTCAATATCTTATCTATTCAAATCCCACTATATAATAAAACAATTATGAGCTCTTTTGGTGTTGAATATGGTTTGTTATTCACCAGAAAAATGTCCATATGAAGCCTCGGTCAATATGGATATTTTTCTGGTGAATAACAAACCATATTCAACACCAAAAGAGTCTATAAGTGTATAATATATTCAGTTACGCAGATACGTTTTCTTAAGTAAAGCAAAAGTATATTTATCAGGTGTCAGGTCATTTCTCTCTAAAACTTTTTCTTCTGCCAGGTTATTTTTCACGATAGGTCATTTCTCTCTTCTGCATGTACCTAGGTCATTTCACCCAAATTTTCATCTGGCCTGGTCTAATGTAATTATGTCCAATTTTTTGCCTAACCTTATTGGAATCTAGAAGATACATATGTCTGTGGAATTTATTAACTATATGACGTCTGTGACGATAAAATGATAGCAGGGTCCGCGTAAATTTGAACGGCCCTCGTACATAGGCATGGTATCAAAATAAATTACGTTTTTTTCCCAAGCTTTATTAGCTACATTTATTTCTACATGTGTTAAGCAGCAAGAAATTCTTCTTCTATAGGAGCATGAGGACTAATAAGAAATTGAATTGATAGTATTGTCCGCGAAGTTCGGTCGTGGACACTTATTAAATCCATGCAAGAAATTCTACTTACATGTATGTGCACTGATTTATTACACAAGTATGCTGTATAAATAAATAATGTCTGTGAAATTTCTGAACTATATTACGTCTGTGAGAGTAAATAATAGCAATTGCAAAAGTTGTTTCCTTTTGTGGGGTCAACCAAAAGGACAAAAGGGAAAGAAACGTCATTTTTTCTCTGTATGCTACCAAATATGCTACCAAATATTTGGGCGTGCTGTGATAAATCCATCGTGTTTAATTTTCGTTTTGATGTGTGGGTTTACCCATCTTGGGGCAATCAATACATAAAAAAGGCAGAGCTTTTTTAAAGTCAAATGACGAAGTTACAAACCTGAAAACTAAAAAGGCTACTGTGTGGATTGTATGGGTTTATCCCCTAAGATTGCGGCCAAGGGACATAATTTTGAAAAGTGTGAAATGGTCTGTACATTATGATTGGCGAATGCATTGCAGTAGTAGTTAATTGATCAACACTTAAACAGGTCGAAACCACTAGAATTTCTGACGTCAGCATAAATTTGCATATCTGTTTACTTTCCCTACTGATGAATGAAACGCAATGCATTGTGGGCTACTACTAGTACCCAGCTGAGTTGAAAATAAAAGGAAACTTATTTCTAATTCTTTTTTGAGGTTTGTGAAAGAAATGTTTAAAATGATGTATAATCTTTCAATTCTATGCTCACATTTACAAAATTTGCGCTATGAAGTCTTATATCAATTAATAAAACAATGGCCTATAAGTATTGTTCAAAGAGACGTAGGTGCTATCGTGTCGATAAAACACTGAGTTTTTCTCCACGTGATATACGTGAACATAGTTTTAGCAGGTAATACATAGGTCCTTGGTTTTAGTCTGCAGGAGAGGGTGTGCAATTATTATTTAACTCCACAATATTATCAGAAAGTGTTTTATGTACATGCAAACGTCGAAGTGTTTTTAAGGTATTAGAAGCAACTATATATCATCTAAAACAACTCAAATATTAAATGTGAGCATGGAGCAATGTCGTTAGAACATAATCTTTCAATTTCGGTCTTACAAAGTGACAATGGGGCTCTACAGTTTTTCCGGTGACGAGGTAAATATTGTGCAACAAACCGACGAAAACCACGTGTCGCCATTGAATAATAAACACGTAGAAGAATGTCATGCTTTAGGAATCAGTCGCTTGATTGGACAACAGGTGTGACGAAGACATTGTCACGTGTTAAAAACTGGCTTCCATATAAGGTAGTGGTCTCGACCTGTTAAACGAGAGGGAAATTAATTTTGATTTTTTACTTCATAATAATACATTTTTAAAATATGAGACGTTTTGACGTATATCATGTATCAATATTCAGCTTGATAAGGCATTATCAGCAAACGAAATTGCATTAATAAGCTTGTGACAACACCTTATATTTATATTTGCTAATGTCTTTCCTTATATGACAATACTAAAAAAATGAAATTCAATTTTCGATGACATGCAGTCGATCACATGATCAGACTTTCTTGCGTATGGAAAGGAAACTGCACGTGCAATTTGGAAAGCTCCGACTGTCACGTGACGTCACAAAACGTCTTAGCAACGTTACGTTGCATTTCAAAATCTAAGTCTAAATAATGCCTATATTTGTTTGTAAAATGAATAAAAACGTTCAATTATAAATATAAGAAATAAAATATCATTTTTTAGAGTTGCATTTAGGAATGACATGAAGTCGATACGTGATCAAAGAATCTGGGGGGATAAGGCGAGTCATTTGCCCACACGGATTTTGTCGCTCTGAAAGCATTTCGGAAATTTCACAGATGTACGATTTACTTAAACATTTAAACTTT